TCATAATAGCTAAATCTTGGAAGCAGCCTATACGCCCATCAGCAGATGAATGGATAAAGAAAATGTGGTATTCATACACAGTGGAGTACTACTCTGCCATAAAGAAGAATAAACTTGAGTCATTTGTAGGAAAATGGATGCACCTTGAGACCATAATGTTAAGTGAGATAAATCAGACACTCAAGCTTGAATATCACATGGTTTCTCTTATATGAGAAACCCAAAGCATACCTAATTTAAAGAGCAAAGTTAAAGATAACTAATAGAAAACAGGGAGATAGATCTTTTGCAAAAGGGAAGAGGACCGAGAGACAGAAGGGAGGGGGAAGCAGGGAGGAGAAGGGGAGGAACTGAAATGTGTCGTGTATGGCCAGCAACTCCCCGCCATGAAAGCGGTCATTACATGCTGCAGACATGTGCTAACAGAAATGTTTTTAAAGACGGGGAATTCTGGTCATTTCCAGCCGGCGCGCGACAGAGCGGCCAACCGCCTGCAGAGCAACATGCCCAAGCTTTATTGTGACTACTGCGATACGTACCTCACCCATGATTCTCCGTCTGTGAGAAAGACACACTGCAATGGTAAGAAACATAAAGAGAATGTGAAAGACTACTATCAGACATGGATGGAAGAGCAGGCTCAGAGCCTGATTGACAAAACGGCTGCATTCCAGCGAGGAAAGATCCCTCCTACTCCGTTCTCCGCCCTCCTCCAGCAGGGGCGATGACCCACCTCCACCCAGTCTCCTGGGTTCTCCTTGCCCTGGCATGATGCCAGCACCCCACATGGGAGACCCTCCCATGATGCCAATGATGGGCCCTCCTCCGCCTGGGATGATGCCAGTGGGACCTGCTCCTGGAATGAGGCCACCCATGGGAGGCCACATGCCAATGATGCCTGGGCCTCCAATGATGAGCCCACCTGCTCACCCCATGATGGTGCCCACTAGGCCAGGAACGCCTCGGCCAGACAGATAAAGCCACAGGGGTGGCCTCTTTATGTCAGTTGGGTATTATTTGTTCTACATCACCAGGAGATCATGATACTGTGACTGTGGGTGTTTTCTAACAGCATAAGGAAGACTTGCTCCTTCTTCCTATCAAACAGACTAGTTTTGAAGGGAGAAGTGAGATAAACAAAAATGCAGGAATTACAGTTTCATTTGTATTGTGAAATGTAAAAATAAAATTGTCAGCTCTTTAGTTAAAAAAAAAAAAAGACAGGGAATTTTGTGGTGCATAATTAAACCTCAGCAAACCTGTTTCTTAGAAAAGTTTGTGTGAGAATCTATTACAGGCCCGAATGAGAGCCCTTCTGGTCCCTCTCACTGCAGGCGGTTCTATCTGAACTACAGATTCACTGTCCCTCCTTAAGCCTCTCCTGCTGCGAGGGCTGATTCCCCCTAAACACAGCCATCCACTCCTCTCCTCTGCAGCGCTTGGGGACTTCTGTGTGGGAAACACGTGAAGCAACAACTCAGCTTAGCGGCTCTGCGGAAGAGCAAGAGGAGGCCCTAGGAATAGAACTGGGCGGCAGGTCTGGGGGTCCTGGGGATGGGGTGGCCTGGGGAGCAGAGAAAGGGCTGGTAAGCTGTCAGGGACACAAAAAGACAAACACGAGAATAGCAGGTTCCCTTTGCTGCCTCCTTCCTGGTTTCAGTTTCTGTTCTGGTCTCTGCTGGTTCTTCTAGGATTTCCAAATCGCAAGTCCAGGGAGACAACCAGCCAGCGTCAGTTTCTTCCAGCAGGAGGAGCCGGGGCCTGGAGAAGCCACAGCTAAATCCAGGCCTCGGGTCTCGGAAGGGACACGGGGTCTCGGGGAGACAAACACAGCTGGGGAGCTGCCCCGCCTGGCAAGTTCGTGTCCGAGAGGACCGATGTAGCGCTTTCTCAACCCAGCCAGACAGTTTCGGTTTCCCAGAGCCAGCTCTGCTCAAGCCCAAGCCGGTGCGTGGTCCAGAGTGAAGACTGGGGTGCGGGCCACCGGGGTGCGAGGACAGCGAGAGGGCAGCCTGCACAGTCCCTGCAGGTGCCAGCCCCAGCCCCGGCCTGCCCTGCCCCATCCTGCAGGGCCTGCCCTGCCCCATCCTGCAGGGCCTGCCCCACTCCAGAGCCATCACCCGCACATGGTCACCATCCTGGGGATTTGGGCCACTGCAGATCCAACGGGCCAGCGCAGGGCTTGACAGATGCAGAGGAACTAGACGAGGTGCTGGCTCCCAAGAAGCTTCCCACGGGGAGGTAGCAGCTTCGAAGACACCAACCACAGGTGTCACCTTGTAGCCTGGGTCCAGCAGGAGCTCACAGCAGGCAGCTGCCAGCAGCTCCTAGTGACTGAAGGGCAGCTGCGGCAGGGAAACCACTGCTGGGAGTCAGAGGCCCCACCCTCAGCCTGGCAGGTTCTGGGCCTCCATGAGCATCGGTCCCACCTAGGCCCCAGGCCCATCTCCAGGGCAGAACAGAGAGCAAACGAGCAGCAGCAAACCATGCAGCATACAGCTTCCCGCTAACATCACTGCGAAACCCTTCACCCCCACACCCCGGCCTCAACACAGCAGCCACAGTGACCTGGGCTGCTTCTAAGCTCAACACCTGTCCCCAGCAGGTCCTAATTCAGAGAGAAAGCCTTGTCCCTTAACATGGCTTCCAAGGTCTTGAGTCACCTGGTCCAACCCTTCGCCACTGCACCTGAAGCACCAGCCACACTATTCCTGGAAGTTGGCAATCCTGCCGCTGCCCCAGGGCCATTGCACCTCTTGGTGCTCATTCTGCAGGAGCATTCTTCAGCTGGTACCTCCACAGCTCTGTTCCTCCCTCCTGTAGGAGGCTTTCCCTGGCTGTCCCATGCTGACCCACAGCTGCCCACACTGGCCCTCTATCTTCTCCTTGATTTCTCTCCATTTTGCTTATTAATGCCTGGCACATGACATATTTGCTTCCTTGCTGTCTCCACTGACTAACACAGAAGCTCCAGGAGGCATGAGGTTTTCTGTATTCACTAATATGTGGGCAGAAAGGGCGAGCTGGGGAGAAATGGAGAGCAGAGAAAGACCCTCTGGGAACAGAGCAGGGGTGGGTGCAGTGTCTAAGGGGACAGGCTGAAGCTAGCTGCCAGGAAGTGAAGACCATGGTGAGCAGAGGGCCAGCCACTCTACCTGCCCGTCCGGGGAAAAGGAAATGCAGTCCTTGTTGAAAAACTATGAAAAATGCCCTAAGATGTCAGAGCAGACCATCAAGCAAGGGGGAGCGTCTTCCAAGCCCAGGGCACCGTGGGCAGCCATGCCAAGCACCTGGACACAGACACCCCAAGGAGGGACAGCACCTCGCGGACAGGCAGAGGCTGTGCTCCTCTGGGACTCGAGCCCAGAGGTCCCGGTCAGCGGGGGCCCTGGAGTCCTTGCTGCCCAGCACATGGCTCTCCTGCCCAGGTGACTGGAGGGACGGCCACGAGTCCACAGCCTGGGAAGGCCCTGTTGCCAGCTCAAGCATCCTCTGGATACCCAGCTTCCGGCTCATCACCCTGGCAACCAGGTCTCCTCTCTGGGCCCCACCAGTCTCCATTCCAGGAGCCTCTGGTACCGATAGGACGGCACCTGCTGGCCTGGATGTCCATGGTTGCTACGCTCCAGCATCTCATCAACTTTTTTTTTGTACTGGGGATCGAACTCAGGACCCTGAGCTTTTGAGGCAGGTGCCGGAACCACTGAGCTAAATCCCTGGCCCACACACCACCAGCTCTTTTTAAACAGCAACTGAAGTCTGCTGGGGAAAGTTCTGGTGGTGAAAACTAGAAACCTAAACTCGTTCACCTTCTTTCTGTTCAGTGTGGAGAGGAAAAAACCCTCTTCTACCTTTCTAGCCTCCACCTGAAATCTCATTTCCCAGGACTAAATCTAATTAACATCTGCAGGGGGGCGGGGATTTAGCTCAGTGGTTCCACCGCCTGCCTCGAAAGCGGAAAGACCAGAGTTCGATCCCCGGTACCAAAAAATAAATAAATAAAAATAAAAAATAAATAACATCTGCAGGTATTAATCAATACTACTTCACTGCGATGCTATGTTATTATAATCACGTTCACTGGTTCAATATAACTGGTGCAAAAGGCTCCAAAAATGTCATCAACCATAGCTCAGGGCCCAAAGAGGTATAATAATATAAACGTATCACCAGGTATCAGTTTTTGGCATAAAAATAAAGCAGTAGTTCTCACCGGGGGTGAGTTTTCTTCCTAGGAGACTTGTGCTAGTGTCTGGATGGGGCCGGGAAGAGGCCAGAGAGCCTGCCAAGCCCCTACAGTGCTCACGTGGGCCTCCTCCACCAGGGGCTATCCTGAGCATGAGGTGAAGGGCCAAGCTCAAAAAGCTGGACAACAGTCTCTGCTGCCATCGATTAGAGCTCCGGGTTCATTAAACCTGAGCCAAACATCTTAAAATGAAAAGTAGATATCTGGGTATTTTGAGACAGGGCCTCACTCTGTGGTCCAGGCGGGCCTTGAACTTGCCATCCTCCTGTCTCAGCCTCCTGAGTGCTGGGATTACAGACGGGCATCTGTCACCATACCCAGGCAAAAGTCTTTATAAAAGCAAAGAAAAATCTGATTTACACTTTAATGGAAAAGGTATAATAACCCTATAAGTATTAATAGTAATATCAGACAGAACATGAAGTGGAAAGCGACTGATCCTAGGTGCAGAGCTGCAGCCAGCAGGTATCCAGGCGGTTGGTGGGTCACACACCGATCACCGGGGCAGACGGGAGTGGCCCCCGGGGTGGCACGGACGCCTAGGTGGCCCCAGCCCGGCAGATGAGGCGCACAGAGGGAAGCTGCCCGGACGGGCGGCCAGGATGCAGGGTGCAGAGGAGACTGCGGAGGTGACCGCCCAGCGCCCCGGCCGCGTGAAGGCCGAGCCACATGGCCCGGCGCAGAGCCCCGCCCGGCGCGTCCCGAGTCCCGCACCGGATCGCCCGGAAACGGCCCCGCCCGCCCGGCCACTCACCGAGACCCCGTATTTGAGCGCCACCCCGGCCAGCGTGTCCCCGGCGCGGACGTGGTGCTGCACGGGGCGCGGCGCCCCGAGGCCCAGGGCGCGCGCGCGGCCGGTGCTGCCGTAGCTGCGGGCCTTGGTGCGCGCCAGGCCCAGCGACAGCGCGGCGTCCTCGGACGCGGGCCCGGGGCGTGGCGCGGCCATGGTCCCGGGGAGCGTGGCGGAGAGCGCGCCGCCTCGTCCTCCTGCTCCGCGCTCCGCGGGGCCGCGGCCGGGCCTGGGGAGGAGGAGCCCTGGGGACCGCGACGCGCGCCCGCCGCAGCCCAGACGCCGGCTCCTCCCTGCGGCCGGGGCGGGAGCGGGAGCGGGAGCGGGAGCGGGGGCCGCCTGGGCCAGCAGCGCCGGTCTGTGCCTGTGACCGCGCTGGCCAGCACGCGGGGAGGCCGAGGCAGGAGGATCGCACGTGCAACCCCCGCCTGGGCAATCTGGGGAGACCCTACTGCAAATAAAAACTAAAAAGTCTGGGGATACACGTCGCCCAGCGCGAAGGCCTTTAATCCACAGTCCACCGCCTAAATAGACAGGAAAGAAAATAAACAGAAACCAGAAGCTGGGCCCTGCCTCCCTTACTGATTCCCCAGGCCAGGGTACTTCCCTCCTGGCACCAACCGCCCGGGCCTCCAAGTCCAGGCGGTGAAACACATCTTCCCGTGTCAGTGCCACCAGCCTGCAGAGGCCTGCGGGGGACCCCACCCACCTGGCTGCGGTCCGCTCCTCCGAGCTGGCTTTCTCCCGGCTCACTACTCGAACCCCCAACTCGCATCACCATGAAATCCACCCTGCGCCTGCATCTGGGCCTCCTCTGACCCCGCCTGGGCCAGCCAGGGCCAGAGCACGGTGGAATCCAGAGCCCGGCTTCCGGTTCTGCCTGGGCCGCTCAGGAACAGGGCTCACAAGGAGGTCCCAGGTGAGTCCCACACAGTTCAAAGGGATGCATTGGCTGGATTGTCTGTATTGCTCTGCTGGACAGAGCTCCAGGCAGAAAGCAAGGGTGAGAGGGGAACTCGGGGTCCTCCTGCTGACACCCGGCAGGGTCCTCGGAGCTTCCTAAACCACCCTGCCGTGGAATAAGTAGCAGGTCCGCTGACTCCAAGCAAGAGGCATAAAGGGATTTATTAGGCAGGAATGTAAAGCTCGAATTCAAAGAAATAGAGTACAGGCCCAAGGGGAGAGAGCGGCCTGGGTCAGGGTGCTGCTCTGCTGCTGTGCTCTCCCATCTGGGCCGGGTCGGGCCGCACCCCACTTTCCGAGTCTGAGGCCAGGACGCTGTCTCTCACTGCTGCTTGCTCGAGGTGGTGGTTGTGGCAGGAAGTGAAGTTTACAGGTGAAAAGCCGGAAGTACAGGCTTACTGTGCCTTTAAGACCTTTAAGATTTATATTGAGTGAGTTTCCTGGGAGGGAAAAAGGCTTTAAGTAACTTTTGTGTCCCGAAGCTGCAGTGTTTCTTAAAAGTACAGTTTTTAAATTCCACTTTTCCTTGTCTCTTTTCTACCGGCTCTATTTCTTCCGCCCTGCCTCACCTCCACCTTCTACTGAAAACTCCTTCCAGGTGCCGAGGACAGCAGCATCAGCACAAAGCCACAGGGCCACCCCAGCAGTCCCCAGCTCTGTGGAACAAAAATACACATGATCGTGAGGTGTGGTGGAGTAGGTCAGAGAAATAAAATATAGAGAGGAAGGAGTGAAAGAAACCATAACTAAAAACTTGTAAGAAGACTGCAAGCTCGGCATGGTGGCACACACCTGTAATTGCACCGCTCAGGAGGCTGAGGCAGGAGGATCACCAAGAGGTCAAGGCCAGCCTGCACTTCAGAGCAAGACCCTGCCTAAAAAAACAAACAAATTAAAAAAAAAAAAGAGGACTGCAACTTCCAGGATCCAGCCGAAGTTACCCAATGCAATGAAAATCAGCATTCCTTTGGTTAAATTTAGACTCCTGCCCTATCTGATCCATCACACCCAAAACTCCTCAGGAAACTAAAAGCTCGAAAACTGGCTTAATTGAGAAGGTGAAGAACAAGAGCCTGATCCCCAGATAAAGCAACAGTTTGAGGAAACCCAAAGAATGTCAAATCACCTACTTTTTTTTTTGTACAGGGGATCAAACTCAGGACCTTGTACTTGTGAGGCAGGCGCTGGAACCACGGAGCTAAATCCCGGCCCAAATCACCTACTTTTAAAACACCCATAGCTTCGGAATGGGCCCCTTGGGGTGGGCACCCTTCCCTGGACTTCTGCACCCCCAGTTCCCAACTGCAGTGCATCTCATTTCTCTGAGCACCGACACTTTGTTCTTGAGTCCACCCTAAATCTCTAACAAACCCTTTCTGATGAGTCCTGAGAATGCTTTTTCCTCGACAGGAGTCAGCGAACCTGGTGCAACAGGACGAGTTAAATTCCTTTTTCAGCCTCAGGGACCCTCAGACCCAGCCTGGTGACAGTTGGATTAGGTAGAATAAAGATGTCCAGTGTTCTTGGTCCAGGACGCAAGAGACAGGCAGAACCTCGAAGTCTAACACATACCAGAGCTCTGGTAAGGTTCAAAAAGAAGCATCTTCCTTCAAAGATGTGACAGTCTAGCAAAGGGAGAGGATATAACATGTTTCCCTTAGGTTTACTGAAGCACCGATGTGAACCTGTAATCCCAGCACTTTGGGAGGCTGAGGCAGGAGGATCACAACTTCAAGCCCAGGTTGGACAACTCAGCAACTTAGTGAGACCCTGTCTCAAAATAAATTAAAAAAGAGCTGAGGATGTAGCTCATTGTGAAGGCCTTGGTTCAGTTCCCAGTACTGAAAAGAAATTACTGAAGCACGGTATGTTTCTGATCAGGTTACACAAGGTGTTATGTATGTTGGGAAGGAAGGGGTCCATAATCAATTAACTGGGGGTATTACTGCAAGCTGTATTCCCATTTTGATAATTCACAGTGCACATCTGAGTCCTGAAATGTGCCTGATACTGCATTTCTCTAACTCATGAAACTGGAGACGCCTTCATCTAAAGAGGGAAAGGCAAGCCTAAAAGAGGAATCAGGAAGGTACCTTTGAAGACTCAGAGATTATGAAAAGACAGGACAGTAGGCCCCTGAAATGAGGGGCAGAGAATGAGGCATTGGGAAGCTAGGAGAAAATTAATCACTTCACAAAATGTACAGAGAGTTGGAAGCCAGCCTACCTCCCAGGGCTAATTTCTAAATTGTCCCTAGTTACTTGCAGTAATAAATACATTGTGCCTTGAAACACCTCCATTATAAAATACTCTAGAATCTATTACACACGTCTCCGAATTTTCTCTATGATTTTTTTTTTTTTGTACTGGGAATCAAACTCAGGACCTTGCACTTGCCAGGCAGGTGCAGCACCACTGAGCTACATCCCTGGCCTTCTCCACGATTGTTTTTGGTGATTATCATTAGTGTTTCAACAAGTTCCCCAAAATTAATCAACTTGAATTACTACTTACTTAATATTTTATAGTTGGGGTTCTTTATGGTTGCTTTCCCCCTGGATGTCTGAGCTATTTATAGACATCCCAGCTTCCTGTGAATTTTATATCTATTTCTCCTTAACTCAAAGAGTAAGTTATTATTTATAATTTGTTGTTCAGTATTTCATTTTTTTCTCTTCTTGAACCAGGACTTCAATGTTGCTTTTCATTTTTATTTTATTTATTTATTTATTCAGGTTCTTTGAGACAGGGTCTGCTATGTAGTTCAGGCTGGCCTTGAACTCACTTTGTAGCCCAGGCTGGCCTCAAACTCACCACAATCCTCCTGGCTCAACCTCCCAAGTGCTGAGATTACAGGCGTGCACCACCACACCTGGCTAATGTGGCTTTTGAATATATCTGTGAATAAGAGAGCAAACCTCTCAGTGCATGGTGAAATATTAGCAGCATTTCCTGCGGGAGAAGAGGAAGCCTTCCACTGCTGCTTCTGATTAACACTGCTTGGGCTCCTTACCAATGCAGTAAGAGGAGGAGGAGAGCAAAGGAGACCAAAGTGAAATAAACAAACTGTTGTTCATAGATGGCAGGTGCTGCGCTTCAGATTATGGCTCCCTACTGCCCATGATTGAAGACTTTGTAGCTCATGGTCCAGTTGGGAGATGCTGCACCTTTAAAAGGTGGGGCCAAGTTAGAAGCTGGATGAGGGCAAGCTCTTGTGGGGGATGTGGGGACCCTGCCTCTTCTTCTCCACCAATGAGGTTAAGCAGCTTGCTCAGGCCCTGCCACAACACCCCGCTTGCCCCAGCTCCAAAAGACAATGGGACAAACTGATGGTAGAGTGGAACCTCTGAAGCTGTAAGCCAAGTTAACCTTTCCTTTTTTTTTTTTTTTTTTGGTACCAGGGATCGAACTCGGGTCCTTGCGCTTGCACAGCAGGCGGCGAAACCACTGAGCTAAATCCCCGGCCCTAACCTTTCCTCTTTATAAATTAACGATCTCAGGTATTTTGTCACAGTGACAGAATGTAACACAGCCAGCAATGATAACTGTTGACAGACAACGTCAACAATGTCCACATGGAATTGTACACACCATTAAGAGTTCATCAAAGTTATAAGATCCAAGATCAGAATGCAAATATCAACTGCGTCAATCAGAAATGTGAGGGTAAAAAAGACAGCATTCTAGACACGAACAAAACAACCCCAGGTATAAAAAACTTAGCCAAAGAGATGCAGGCCTTATACAGTTAAATATAAAATATAAATATGGATAAATATAAAGTGTTATTGAATGACATAAAAGCAAATGTAAATTAAAAAGAGATAATAGCCTATTTATGAGTGGGAGGTACAAGGTAATGAAAATATAATTCCCTTTCCAAACCGATGTACAAACTCATTAAAATTCCAGCCAAAATCGCTACAGGATTCTCCAAAGACATGACGAGATCATCCTAAAACTAACATGAAAGATGAGAGCTTAGAAGTGACAATTTTCCTGCCCAGTAAGAAGGAGGGCTCACTCACAGGCCCCGAGACTTCTACTAAACTCAGAGCGAAGCCAGTCCTGGTGCTGATGCTGAGCCGGCACACAGAGCGGAGCCAGGGGAGCAAGCTGGGAATAGCCGGGCACTGGGAGCTCATCTGTAACAGCCGTCCCAGGGCAGTGAGCAACCGAGAGAAGGTGAGGGCAGAGCCCCACCCATCAGATGAGAGTCAGTTGCA